GTTTTGTTTCTTATGCCCATGCTCTGTGTCCTTTCATTCTTTGCAACTCTAATTGATGGCAACTTAAGGAAAAGTTATGTTATGGAGTCTTTTATTTCATTTGCTTTGTATTCTATTCTACAATCTATTGTTGTCAAACAAACACACACACGTACACTCGCACACACATTGAAATGCAGTTAGCGCCACGTGAAACCAGTCGCAGCGTATTGTTGTCCATTGTAGGGGTTATTGTTGTTGTTGCAGTTACTTGACATATTCATTAGACATAAAAATTAGCGATGAGCACGTGAGAGAATACATTGTAGATAAATCATGTATGCTGATGTTGATTGTCTAGCTATATACAACTGACAGGTAATCAGCTTACGGCTTAAATCATGTGACCTAGAGCGGGAGACTTAAGAATATTATGGATATAGTTTGTTTGATGCACCACTCAATCAAAATCAAATATTAATTGATACATTATCATATACATTAATTATATTTCTCCCGTTTTAATGCAAACTTCTAGTTTATTATTTTTGTAATCGAAATCTTGCTTAAACTTACGAAAGCTCGTCTCCAATTAGAATCAAAACTTGTCATATTTACCCTAAATCATTTTATAAACTCTTCCATTAGCTGTGCTAGTGTTGTGGATCGTATCTTGCGCCCATTTCTCATAGGGGTAATGTCGTGTCTAGCTGCCAAAGTATTTTTAATTAGTTAATAATATAGCTTAAATTGCAGTTCACTGTTCAATTCTAATTAAGCTGCGGCTCACGATTGTGTCACGCGCTCATCTCCAATTAGAATCACGACGCGTCGTGCTGTCAACATCGCGTGTTATTGCTCACCGATTTATACGTTTTAACCGTTTCTTCATTACGTTTTCATGTGCCAGCTGACGTTCGCTTGTGTTCTTGTTATGCATGAACTGCGTTTAGTCGTTCTTGTTGTTGTTGTATTGTTGTTGTTGTTGTTGTTGCACAATAAATTGCCTACAATTTCCCATTACATTGCTGTTATTTTTGCTGCTGCTGCTGCTGCTGTTGTCGTCGGCAGCATTTTAGCCATATAATTAACATTAACTGCTTTGGCTGACGCTGGCGCTGTTAAAGTCTTAATAACGCGTTGTACTTTGTTAAATGGGGCCAAAAAGGTCAGAGCCTGGTTCTTGGCCATTGCTGACATTGCGGCTGTCATAAATAAGCCGGAATCTATGCGGCATCGATCTGAGAATATTGCAATTAATGGCTGAGCTAACGGCTAATCTTTATCTGGCGGAGATATTAGTTACTTTCTATTTATTACAGATAGCTCGAAGCGGGTAATCGATTTAATTTATTCATTGCAACAAATAGATTTTTAATTGTTTTTTTTTGCTTTATAGTTTGCCTTGGGCTAACAAGCCAGTATTTCAGGCTAGCAAAATATCCCATTAAATAAAGTGCAGTACTCTGTTTGATTAAAGCTTGCTTACATTACAAACCCCTTGATATGTTTCTGAAGCAGTATAGAGGCCTGCTTCCTTTTTTATTATTATTCGAACTAATAAACGTATACAAGATATTTAATCGGATATTGACGGGGCTGGCAACAGCTCATTTAGTTGGCTTGAACAATAAGCTGGTTTAACCACATGCAATTATGGTAACTGGCGACCAAATCTCTACTCCCACAATCTGTTTATTTAAGCCAATGTAAACTGCTAACATAATGTTATAGATTCTTTTATTTTAAAGATAGCGAAATATTTTAAGAACCGAACTCGGCTCCTTCTGCTAAGCATGCTATTCCTGCCGTGGATTCTCTTTAGTCAGCCATATTGAGGCATAAACCTTAATCCACTTAAAGTTACTAAACGCTTTACTCAACGAAAATTGGCAGCAAATAGGTCGCCTTTGACAAACCTGAACAAATTGGTAATAAATAAATCGCATATATTCCTAAACAGTTTCCCAAATCACTGCCATCTATTTTTTTTTTTCATGGGAATCTGTTCCCTTCATTCCAATCTGACGCTTTCAATCGTTTTGTTATAATGAAAAATCCCAAATCGCTTTGTTCGCTGATTGCATTACAAACAGAAGTTGAACAATTTGTGATTCGGTCGACGCATAATTGGATTTGCTCAGTCAATGTCAAAGGCAAAGCGGAACGGCAGTTCAATCAGTCGAGAGTCGACAGTCGACAGCACTTAATTCACCTGGCAACGACAGCGTCTCTCTCGGCGATTCTCACATCGGTTGAGTGTAGTGGATCAAGTGGCAATCGCAAATTAATTGAAAATTGGCAACGTGCGGGTGGAGAAGTTCAACTGGAATGGAATCAAAATGGTTGCCTGGCGCTTTGCCATTAAAAAATTAATTTCGACTGGCAAAGGTGACTCGAACTTAAGCCAGGCCATATCCCCAATGATTACCGTGTTGCCAGGCAGCCTCATTAGGCGCCCCTTTTGCTACCTTTTACCCGCCACCGCGCAACGCTCCCACTGAAATGTTATTAATTGCAAAGTTTTTTCTTTGACGCTTGAAAAGTTTTTCAGCTTTTCCTATTTCTTACTCTCCGAGCACAGTGTATTTAAGTAGTTCTCGAGCTAACGCCCACGTTGCCAACTAAACAGCAGGCGGTCGCAGTTTACGGATTTTAATTTAATTTTCTAATAAACTTTCCATTTTCCATTTTCTGTGCTGCCTGCGCTTGGCCGACATCCTTTCGACCGGATTCCTTCACAGGTTCTTAAAGCTGCTCCCTGGTTGTTTACGTTTGTTTTTCTTTCTTCTGCCTCAATCAGTGAAATTAAAGTTTGCCTTATAAATGGATGTGTGTCCAAGTTCATAATTGATGGGATATAAAATAAAGTAAAAGATAAATTGGTCGATAACCAACTTAGACATGACGCTTTTTGGCTTGAGGATTCCCAGTTGATGCCAACATTTGGTTCGGTTGATTATTTTCGACATTAAGAGATTTAACATTATTATTATTAATCCAAAGGACATTTAGGTCAAATGTAATTTGTATTGCACAAAGCATCTTTACCTACTTTGTAGGTCAATTAAAAATTAAATTTGTAAAAGTTCGACAATAGGGCTCAAATCGATGTGGTTTATTAACAGTGGATTTATAAAAATGTTGTATTTTTTAAACAAAAATCGATATACTAATATATCGATCAATAAAATACTTATTTTTCGGCACTTTGGAACTTAATTAATAAAATCAAGTTTTGTAGTTTATTGTTATGTTTACAAGATTTTAGGATTTTTAATATATGTTGCTAGTTGAACTTACGTCAACTTTGTACAAAGCCGTGTTTACTTTTTCCTGGGACACACGCATACACAGGCATACACACACACACACACACCAACTGGACTTAACTAGCGTCTGCCCAACTAACTGAACATAAATTTCATTTGCTTTCCCTTTATTTTGTAGAATAAAACCTTTTGATGGCAAAATTCTAACCGACGCCCCAAATGGGTCGACCTGCTTTCTGCCAGCAACGGCCCTAGCCACAACATCGGCACACCCCTTGAACGAGCTCCCCCAACGCCCCTTTCCCCTGTCCATGCCGCACATTGACACTCCCTAGCTACCCCATTGGCGTATATAGTAAAAACTGAGCAGCAAAAAAAAAAATAGTAATAATAATAAAGGGGGCCAAGAACAAAAAACAAGCATTGAGAAATGGCGGCACATGTTGACGGTGATGAGGACACCGGAAATGGAGCAGCCGCCATGTTTGCCATGTTGTCAAGCTGCTGTCAGCCTGGGTTTGCCTGTCTCTCTGCCTGCCATCCAGTATGTCTCTCTGTCTGTCTGTCTGTCTGTCTGCGCCTCATCCTTTCCCTGTTGCTTTCTCTGCCTCTAAGCGCAGCCCTTTTGTATTTGTGCATGCAAGTAAACTGATTAAAAGAATTTAATACTGTTAATCTGCTTCGTCTAGTGGAAACGCTGAATGCAGCCAGAGCCATGGAATGAGGAGCACGAGTACTTACAGCTGCTGCCTGTCTGCATGATAATTATACCCCGTACACTCGTTAAAACACAGCTTAAATGAGTTTCTGGCAATATGCATTTAAATACTGAGAAGAAATTATGCCTATTGCTTGTCATTTGTTTTGCTGCGAATGAGGAGCATTCCACTGACTAAGCTACATTTAAAAGTGTTTCATTTGTTACATTCAGCATGTTACATTGCATCGCTCGACATTCGTTTTATTACCTCTTTGACATATTTGCATTTGATAAATTTAGCTCTCATCCTATCTCTCTCTCTCTCTCTCTCTTATTTATATCTCATGCAGCCAATGAATGTTGTTTGAGTTTTGAATAATGTGCATTCCACTTGCTTTGTTACAATTAACTCATATGTAATCTAATTGGAATACATTTTCCCTAGAGATGCTCAGCAGAAGTAATTCATATTGCTTTACATGTGTTTAATTAAAAATGCTTTGGGCTCGAATAAATATAAATTGTCGAATGGCTGAACAATTCATTACATGCATTTTGTGTAAAACACTTATCTATGGTAAATGTAGGCATTTATTAAAATGGTTATTCAAGTTTTCTGCATCAATGACAGACGACAGTGGAACAAAAAATACATATTTGAAATAAAATTATACTTAAGATCTGGTTACATAGCGCATTATTCGATTAATTAAGACTTAATTAATATAGTTAAAATATGTGCAACAGTTAGTTAAAAACCATCATTTTGATCTGATACGCATTCAATTTGTTATGACATATTTATTTAACATTTCATCAAACGTTAGCGCTGTCTACTCTTTTTAATAGGGTATGTCGCATTCGAGCTTGCCCATACTTGTCTCTTAACGCATGTCTGGGCAAATACAACGTATAATATCAGATTGAACTACAAATAGAACATAGATAAAGCTACCATTGAGGCAGCCTTCAATCTGGTGGCTACTCATTAAGTTTCTGAGCAATTTTGCAACGTAATGCTTATGTTTAACAATATCTACTGATTGCAGCTGTCGGTTGGCATTGAGCATGGCATACTGGAGTCATACAACTCGGACTTTGAGCTACAATTCAGCCATCCGCTAAAGCATATTGTGGGCATGTGCCGCATTATACACAAGCCGCAGTCGAAGAGCGTCGGCAATGGCTTCATCCAGCTCAAATCAAATGCTGGCCAGGCCACAACGGCCAATTGTGGAACAGCTGCCGCCCACTCATCTTCCACGTCTGCCGCCGCTGTGGCTGCAGCTGCTGCTGCTGGCTCACTGACCGCCAATGGGCCGCGCCAGACGCTAACCACATCCACATCCTACGGCTCACTGTCATCCAGTGCTGCGGCCGCTTATCAGCTGCAGCAGCAACAGCAGCAGCAGCAGGCGGCCGACGCAGAGCAACCGCACAACTTTATGGAATTCCAAGGACCCATTACCGGGCTGGTCTATCTGCTAAAAGATCCCAAGGATCCGCTGCTGCACATTTATCTATTCGAGTGCGACACCATCGAGGAGGTAAGTTCCAATTTAAGCTGAGCTTATGTTTGATTCTCGTCATTTAGTTTTTGTTTGGCCCCCTGCGGCCCACTCTGCGCCTTTTGAAATGCATTCGACATGAAAATCTTTAGAAAACTTGCAACAATGGTTATTGTTTTAAAAACCATTTGAATTAAATGCAAAGGGCACAAATGCAGCTACCGATTTATGAGGAAACTTTTAAAGTTTTTCCTCTCTATAACTTTTAGTTAACTTTCCGTGCGGAAAAAAACTCAATCAAATGAAATTCAATAAAAATAGCGAGTCATGAACGTGACTGACGGGAAAAAGACCCCGCACGAACATCTTGAGTTAATTAATGCAAATTCTGAGCACCACGGAAAGTTAATTCAAAAGGTCAGCCTTCAACATTTTAATCATCTAAACTGGGCATTTTGTATTATAAGCACAAAGTGCAGAAAATGGGTGAAAAGTGTTAAATGCAACTTTTTAATTATTTGCGCAGTTAGACTAAAACTCATTTTGAAAGTTTTTACTGGTAGTTGAAAGTCATTTGTTAAATCGATTTGCGAACATGCATTTATCATGACTGGAATACTGTGCTTAGAGAGTTGTGATACACCACTTATTTTCGTGAAATTAACCTTAAACTCAATTTTAGGTCTATTACATTAAAGGTAAATGTACCTTAAACTAATGAATATTGGTGAAATGAATATGCATGCAAGTTAATTGGATATAATAAACAAATGTATCACTAATTGCGGAATGGTATTTAAATAAAAAGGTTTTTTTTTGTAATTTTATTTTTACCAACAATTGATCAATTTTGGCTCTAACAAGATTAAATGGTTTATATAGTCAATGATAGAAGGGGTCTTTTCAGCCAGGTAATAAAAAGAGTAAAATTTGTTTTGACGGTGTTTCGGGAAAATCCCACCGCAAGTGCGGAAAAATTGCGAAAAATGTTTGTATGCAACTTTTTTGTTTACCATCCAATTGGCTTCGAACTCATTTCAAATAACTCTGTTCACATTCATTTGAGGTGTGTTACGCACTTTTTAGAAAATCCATCCGTTCTTGGTGAAAATGGGGGTAATTTCCATGGATCTACATAACAAATCATTTAAGACCTGTCTTACATTTTTTTCGTGAAGCTTTAAGTTGTTGTTTATCGTCCGATTAATTTCGAAATCATTTTCAAATGTTTTTGAGACAATGTTTACTTTGTACGTACCACGGGCAAGACCGGGTTAGTAATATATAGATTTATAAATGTTGCCAGTTAAGTTTTACTAACGAATGTGCTGTATGTCATAAGTCCATCAAAGACACATGTAAACAGCCAAAGTGTGTCAACCTGGCGCCAGTTAACTTCAGGCAAAGCCCACAGAATGTCGCCAGCACACCAAATATTTAGCGCCCAATCCATTTGCCGAGTAGGGATTGGCGTCCAGCACGTAATAAAACAACTTCCGATTGTGTTTCTAATTAAGAGCGCTCGACCATAACTAAAACTAGGACGTAAATAAACTGCGAACGTCGCTGCTGACCGCACGCAAAATATTAATTTCCAATAAACAGTCAAGTAGCAAAAAATAAAACAATTACCAAATGCTGACACGCCCACTTCACAATATATATTATTAAGTGGGCGCACAGGCAACAGAATAGAAAGCGACAAAAAACATAAAATAAATCCATTCAGAAACTCGTAATAGCAGTGTTTTGTTTGTTTGGTATTAAATATTTTTTATATATACATATATATATATATATATATATTATGTATTTTTTGTGCAGGCGTTTTTTGTGGCTCAATTTAAATTGCAATTTACTTTTTTCTCGTGTTTTATAACGATTTCTGCTTTTGTTGCTGCTGTTGCTGATTGCGTGTCAAAAGTCATTTCGGGCAACGTTAGTTGGCCACGCCCCCCGCTGCTTAATTTACCAGCTGACTTTCTCTCTCTCTCTCTCTTTCTCATTGTGTGTGTTGTTAAAAAGAGGAAGCACTTTACCTGGCTATTCGGATTGTGTCAGTGTGCGTGTGTGCGTGTGAGTTTTTGTTTAAAATTTTGCTATCTGGGGCAGCAAGCTTTATGTCAGAGCGCCGGTAAATATGCTACAAAAACGATTACAGCAAGTTTTTTTTGGCGATTACATGCAATCAAATGAAATCTCAGTTAAAAAGAAAAATAATACATTTGGGCAGAAGATTTAATGATTAAATCTGTTTTTGTAGAAGACAGAATTAAAATTTGAATAGTTCAGTTAGAAATCATTAAAATATTTAACTGAGTCGAGTTGAAAGCTAAAAGCTATGAACAAAATTATTATAATAATTAATATATTGAAATGTTTCATGTATATTCTATGTATAATAGAATATTTAAAAAGACCTTATGAAATTCCTTAGTTCTTAGACTTCTTAACCCATGCTATTTTTCAAACGTTAGACTTTTACAAGGTTCGATAGGTTTCTACAAATCATAATATGCAAATGGAATTTCTAATTATGTTTCAAGTTAAAACAAAACTTGGCTCTTATCTTATATGACATCAACTAAGAAATTATCTTGAACCCTAAACTCAAATTTCTAAGCAATTAAAAGTAAATTATCTGCATTTTTGGCTCATCTTAAAATTGGTTGCTATAAAAAAATGTCTGGAGATTAAGATATTCACAAGAAATTTAAAATAACTGACATTTAGCTGGAGACAGAAGGCTTTTTCTTTTAATTGTAAGCACAAACTGTCGCATCTCCTTCAATGATCTTAATAAGTGCCTAAGACTCAAAGGAAAAAAAGGCTATTTTAAAGATTTCTAAGATTCAATGTAACAAATATGTATTGTCCATTTAATTTTAAATAATTCTGCGCAGGTGCACATGGCCACTTTAAAATTTCCAAGGTGTCCGAAATAATTGCATCCCAGCTGGGTAGCGTCCTCCAACGCTAATAGGCGTCATTAGGCGGGTAGAGAAAACACAATGATAAAGGGAAACCATTAGAAAAGCTGGCAAAAATGTACATAATTGCCGGGCGGAGATAAGTGGAGCAGACTTTCAGCTGAGGCAGTTAGCAGCTGGTGGCATCTGTGGTCTCTGTGGTCGCGAACATTTCATAAACTCATAAATATTTAAAAGGCGCGACTCACCTGTTAAACACTGTGCTAAACACCTATGGACCGCGCGGCGTATACGTAATGTGTTATGTGTAATGCGATTTTGTTTTAAATAATGTTTTGGACGGATCCTGGCAACCGGGCAACCAATTCACGTTGATTGCATGTCCTGCGGCGACTGTCCTTTGATTGTTGTCGCGTTGTTGTGGCAAATGACGCATGACGCTGAGCTGTCATTTGCATGGGGACATCATTGCCGTTTATAGTACGCTTTTATTATCCTGCAACAACAGCAACAGCAACAGCAACAGCAACTGCGTCAGGCATCGGGCACATTCACGTACCTTCGGCAAATGTCGTTTCCGTTGCCATAGCACAGACAGCATTGTTGTCATTCGCAACGCTCGCCCGACTTTTAATGGCCTTTGAGAGAACTTGCCAACGTTATCCTGGCTCTGCTGCTGTTGGCCCACATAGTCGAATCGAGTGTTGGCCACAATGCAATTGCGTTGACAATGCCACTTTCTTTATCAACTGCTAAATAAAAGGTGAACATTTTCCCTGTTAAAATATGGAAGCAGTAAAATTTAAATATTTTTTGATGCGGCGTCAATGTAACCATATGTTTGCGGCTTTCTTGCCGTTACCAGTCGCGAAGAGAATATTTGGCATATATTTCAAGAAGAGAAATGCTCTCCTTTTTAAAAGGTCAATTTCTATATATATATATATATTGTCATCGATAGGTATATAACATCATCGATAGATATCGATTGTGCATTGGATAAACGAGCTAAAGACTGAAGTTAATAAGTTATTTCAGCTATGACTGGCATTGCTTTTGCTTCCCTAACTTTGTTTTTGTTTTCTGCTATTAAAAGTTTTTTTTGCCATGTGAATTAGCAAAAAGTGCACACATAGTACAATCAGTTCACGATGTGGGCGTGTCATATGGCCCCTTTGGCCCTCCACCGCATGGCGAGAACTTTAACCTGGTTTGTGCTACAATGGATGCTACGAGCTGAACTTTCTGAGGCCTTTGCCTTTGTAGACATTTGCATATGCTCGAAACTGTGCTGTCAGTTCTGCACGGAATTGTTGGCCTTGGCCTGTTGGTCGTATCCTGGTCGGCAAAACACACACACCCATACACACACCCACACACGCTGGCACAACTTTTGAAATTGATATTGAGTATTAGTGCCTTATATACCCCGCTGTGCAGCCTGCCCCTTTGTGCCATTGATAATTGGCTTTTAGTTTTGTTTGCTTGCCCAGCTTGCACTCATTCCTTGCAGCATCAAAGCCTGCTCGATAACAAATTGAATTTGTCGCACATTCCAGCAGGAAGCAGCACTTTATATTTAGCTTTATTGCCAAATTGACTGCTTTTACTATTGAGAATTTAATTTAGTTAGCCTTTGGCTCGATATGCATAGTGCATTTTTATTCAAAAAAACTAGTTGGGCTTTTGTCAGTTAGTTGGCTGCAGTTCTGATGCTTTCATTGTTTGCCCAGTTTGCCATACTGATAGAGCAACTTTTATCCAAATAATTTATTCGGCTTGCAGCTATCTAAAAATGTTCATATCAGTTTTTTCGTGTGCTCATCAACAATTTTTGTTTGTTTGCTTTGCGCTCATTAGCAAATTGCTGTCAGTTCTCAATTTACGTTTTGTATATTCATTAAATTTCAATTCTAAAGTATTTTCTTTAATCCTAAAATGATGATACTTGGAGTAGTTGCTAACCCAAGGGTACATAGAACAAATTTCGATGTGCAAATCTCGTACTCGTACTCCCTGCGGTCTTCCCCTCCCGTATCCGTCTGCTGCTTAAGCTATGAATCGAAATATTATCGAAGATCAATTTATAAAGATAATAGTCAAATGGCC